CTGGTCAGCAGACCTTAAAGCTCTGGCTGGGGTGTAGCGCTGGAGGAGTTCGGCTATATAGGCCGGAGCCAGCCCATTTAGTGCTTTAAAAACAAATAAAAGGATTTTAAAATCAATTCTGAACCGAACTGGAAGCCAGTGCAGTGAGGCCAGAATTGGGGTGATGTGGTCACGCTTTTTGTGGCCAGTCAGCAAACGTGCAGCCCTTGTGTTGTGTTAGAAAGCTGTTACCGTTCATGGTGTTGGCGGGTCAATTTTGACCCATGATTTATCTCAGTTCAAATCACTGAAAAATAATGACTATCATCCAATATTACAAAAAAGTTTTTAGAACTTTATATTATTAACTATAGTAACCCCTGTGGTGTTACGGGTGAAAATCGACCCATATAGATTCATGCTAGATAAGGTCAAATAAACTAGCTTCTGTTGGACAATGTTGTTCATGCCACGCCCCCCAACACGATGGTGTGTGTTTGTGTGTGTGTGTGTGTGTTGGTGTGTATCTGTGTACGTGCTTGTGTGTGTATGTGTGCTTATGTGTGCTTATGTGTGCGTGTTCAGGTTCAAGTGTTACGGTACGTCCACACAGCAGCGTTTAAAAAATCTTGGAGGTGGGCGTATCTGAAGCTTGGGGATTTTTTGCGAGCAACGCGACCAACAACCAATCACATGAATCTCCCGCCCCCGACATACAGAGCAAAAAAGCCCGAAGTAAACTGGATATAAACTCCCCAAACAGGCGAAAACCTACCACTGTCTCTGGCACCTCCTTCCATGCCTGGCTCCTCCGGTTTGTATCCCGGTAGGTAAATAGGGACTGGTCATAAAGCACCGGGTGATTCCCTACCGCTATAATACATTTCTCCTCCATTTTTTGGAATATGAGGAAATGACCTGCGTTATGTCTCTCCCAGCATACACGCGGTTTGATTGGCTAGCGCTTGTACTGTCAGATTTGCATAAACGGGATTTGATTGGCTGATGATTCCACCTCAGCTTCAAAAGTTGAACATTGCTCAACTTTTGAAGCCTGAGATGCCTGGAAATCTCCGCTTTGCTTCCCACAATGCAGTTCGGCGAAAAGTGAGGCAAAGTGACGTCACTTCAAGTGACAGCGTTGGAAGATTTTTTTACCGCTGCTGTGTGGACGGGCCGTTAGTGTACATATTATTTGAGAAAGGTGGAGTTCCATGTGCATGTTTGCATGTTGCGAAAAAAATATTGTTACAGTGTATGATGGGGGTGGGGATGGGGTGTCTAAAGTCAAAGATGAATCTTGATTGGGCCAAATTTGACCCGAACCAAACACCAAATTACATACTTTTGTTCAGAGAGACCTACAAACTTGGCTAAAATTGTCAAAATAAGTTTGGTAGTGTTCATATAGCTGTTGTGGAGGATATCATGAAGCCTTGTCCTGATAAAAAAAAAACTAGAGGGTGGTTATTATATAATGTTAACTTGAAAAGGGTCACAGGAGACCTGAACACAACATCAGGGAGAGGAACTGAGCAGCATTGATGGACACTGATGCATTGATGAGTTTAAACACTAGTATCACATCATATCTACATACATACATCTTACTTAGTGCTTGCACTTTTTTTGGCCAATTCACCTCCACTTCCTGTCCCTCTCTGAAACTCTGCTGGTGCTGATGTTGACAGAGTGACTGAATATTGAGGCCTGATCTCCTTCTTTCTTATTTTCATCACAATGGTTGCACCATTAATAAGATTGTTTCTCCAGACTTGATTAAAGCACTGATGTTTTCAAGGGAAAGACAAAAACAACAATGTGTGGCAGCACATTTATTCACTGGTGACAACAGAGTAAAACATGACATTGCTCATAAACAAAAATAAAGATAGATAAAATCATCCATAAAGTGTGCATCATCAGAATAGTATCAGGGACAGTTTCATCCCACTAGCCATAAGCCTATTAAACACCTGAGCTTGCACTATTTTATTTGTATTCTTGTTTTACATATATGTATTTCTTATGTCTTGTTAATTGCACTGTTAAGGAACCTGCGATCACAGTTTTTATACATTACATAATTACACCGTAGTTTTTAAATGTCATGACAATAAACCTTTGAAACTTGAAAAATAGTTATTTAACAGACTCTGGAACATTGTATAGAGAACAAGTGATGCAGCTCCCTCTGTTGGCCGGTAGAAGCAATAAAATAAGTTTAAAGGTGGGGTTGGTAAATTTGAGAAACCGGCTCGAGATACACTTTTTGTTATATTCCATGGAATGCTCTTAACATCCCGATAGCAATGAATATATTAAGTGCTTTGACAAAAAATCCATAAAAAAATGTCATCTGTGGAAGCCGTAATACTGTAAAAAGCACGACCAATCATTTTAGCCGGCCCGGCTAAAATAACTGGATGGCCTACCTGCCTGTCAGCCTTCCATCTGTGCACAAACTTATCTCGTGCCCTCATTGGTCATGTGCGCGTTCGTGTGTGTTGGAGGAGGGGCTCTGTAAGGAAGTGGCAGATGTTTTCCGGCTGTGTATTTTCAAATTCTAGCGATCTCGAGCCGGTTTCTCAAACGTACCTACCCTACCTTTAAGCGTTGCATCTCTAATACAATAGAATAACACTATTCATATCTAATAAAAACACCATAAAAATGTTAAAGGGCCCATGTCATGGCCATTTCCACTGATCATAATTACATTGTTGAGGTATACTAAAATAGATTTATACTGTGCAATTTTCCAAACTCACATTGGTTTCGCATACAGCATCTCTGTCAAGCATGTGTATTCAGCAGTATTCACTTTCTCCACTAAACGACTCGTTGGAGCTCTTGCCCCCCCCCTCCCTGTGAGCCTAGTGTGCTCCGATTGGTCAGCTCGGCCACTCGTTCTGATTAGTCAACCACCAGAGAGGCTGCGCCCATGTCAGTGCTTTTCCCGGCTGCTCTCAGCGTAACATCAGTCTTATCATGGCGTCGGTACAGCGGTATATTTTATATACATATATATTTTTAACTGTTGTTATCGAAGAGTGTGACGGCCCCAGGGCCTTTGTCTTACGATGGGGTGGAGCTGAAGAGGCTAATCAGCACGATCACGGACACCTCCGGACACTACGGCCCCAGTCTCTCTCCAAAGCGGCTGCAGGAAGACTAACTCTGCGATCCTCTCAACCACCTGTCTCTGCATTTACCACAATAAATGTGCCGTGGTTTTGTAAACTCGTGTATGTCTCCTTGTCTTTCCGTTGTGGCCTACGAGCTACTCTCATAACAAAGAGTAAGTTATTTTTACCCGTTATAAACTACTACTGTTTGATGAGAAATCAAATCATGGTTTGCTATATATGAATTCAGGGAAGAAAGGATAGGCCTACTAAGTATTTCCATTAAACTTTATTTTTAGAAATGTACAAAATGAACATAAATATACATATATATACACACGGTATATCATCCATTCCTCCTCCTCTTGCCTGCGCACAGCCGGTGCGGTGCGGTGCCTTTTAGCACGAGGTCTCAGTAGTAGTAGAATCCCTTCCCCGTCATGGATTGTCCGCCAGGATCTGGCTGGACGAAATCAAATGCAAAACACAAAATATTAGAGAAACTTAGTTGTTTTAGATTCGTTAGTAGTAGTTGTGTAATGAACAGCTTGCCTGCTAATATGCTAACCTAGCTTTGTTTACCTTGATAGCTAACACGATATGAACGTTAGCTTGGAGGAAAGGCAACTATAATGCAGTGTAATAAAACTACTATGAACAAAAGCTAGTGGTTCATATTAGGCTAGCAATAACGTGTTTATAATTGCAATCGTATACGGGTATTCTGCTACCATACAATGTAACTTGCATGAATACATTGTTTTGCGCTAGCATACAGCTAGCCTCGTTAGCTACATGCAGTATATGTACGGTCACAATGTACGGTAAACCGGAGTATACTGTATGAGTATTCCGTGTGTGTGACTGCAGACATTCTCCTGCCATGACAAACATGTAAGGCCATCTGCTGACATTGTAGTTGATATATTTAAACGCTAGCAACGTAGCATCACAAAAATGTTTTTCTGACCAAAACTAGCTCTAGCTCTGTGTGTTAGATCGCTACGCCAGCTATAATGTAATTACATTTCGCGACTGACCGGCAAATCACCCGCAGTATACTGTCAATAGGTATTTTGTGTGTGAATGCAGACATTCTCCTGCTATGAGATACATGTATGCAAGGCCATCTGCTGATATTAGAGTTGATATATGGAAACTCTAGCAACTTAGTTAGCACAGTTAGCACTGTGTCAATGGCTTAGCAGTCCAACACAGTTTACACATTTAAACAGTCTTGTTTGATAAATACACAAATAACAATGCAAACTTACAGGTTGTATACCCAGATCTTCCCCTGCTCCAAACGGTCCAAACAAGCTGTGCATATCCGGCCTCAAACTGGGCAATGTTTTGGAAGCTTTCGTCTGTGAAATGCCGGTTCTTCGAACCTCTGGAGGAGGAACACGCCGCTGCTGGTGTGGCCATAGCTCTTCGGGATTGGTCCATTTCGTTCCGGGTACCGCATGACATCATGCGGTACCCGGAAGAATCAAATGGGCAGTGACGTATCTCCAACGAGGCGTTTTGGGGAGGTATTTTCTGTGTTAGAGTTTTACTCGCTACAGGGTGTACTTTGAGGGTTTTGACTCTGCACACCGTTTACATGCATAAAAACCTTCATAACACACAAGGGGACGGGTAATAAACGGAAAAGCATGACATGGGAGCTTTAAAGAAATAAATATTTGCATTAATTTTTGCCAGCCTATAGAATTGAAGTCAAACTAAAAGTACATCGATTTTAAAATAATCCACATTATGAGTTAACTTTTGTGTTTTATTGTTTGTATCGAGTTTGTGAAACTGGAATTACTGTTTTTTATATTTTTGTTTGTAATTCATCTTTTTTCAGAGAGTTTTCCAGTAACCTTCTTAGTATGACTGCTTTGTTTAAACAGACAGAGCCTTCTTCTGGCAGATCCATTGTTTTTTATAATCACAGCTCATTGATGCTAACCATGCGTTTCTGTACTTGTAAAACATTGCACAGTGACCGTCAGCAGGATCAGGAGGATATATCCAGGAGCTGAGGAGAGAACATGATGTTTAGATAAAGGCTGATAGATTTTATTATTCAAAGTTTTTAGTAATGTGTCTCTTACCTATTAGTCAGATCACTTCCATCCACCCACTTCCATTTCTTATTTACAACTCTCAGACCAATCCAGAATCCTCTATTTCCAAAGCTGTTAGTAATGATTGCTTCCTGGAAAACAAAGAGAGAGTTGTGAGATATAAAAACATTAAACTGTAATAAACACATAATGACCTAAAGACCCAAAGTGTGTTCAAACCTAAATAAAACACAATTACTTTCATAATTGCGTCATATTAATGGGTTTACCTTTTCAGCAGGAGTATGTGCAACAGCCAGATTTGAATTATTTCCTTTGCAGTCATCTTGAGCTTCTTCCCAGGTTTTTTTATTAGGAGGCTGAGCGTTATTGAACGCATAGCAGCTGGGCTCAGTGAGATACCAGTGCCTCTGACAAGCTTTACACTTTTCATCTGACAATACAGAGTCCAAACAATAATCAACATCACTGCATTGTGATATTAATGTTATTATTATTATTGTACCTTATTAATGGATTCAGAACTTACTGCCATGTTGTCTGCAGTAGGAATCGATGCTCCACTGAGCTCGACTGATGTTGAGCTCATTCCAGGTTGTCTCCATATTTTGTATTTGCTGTGTCAAGTTGTTCGTCTTGGCCTCCAGCTCCTGGTTTAGTTTGTTCAGCTCCTGGACTTCTGCAGACAGGTTTTTCACGTTGCTTTCTGAGACAGTATAGGCTTGTGTCAGGTTGCCCAACTGGTCTGTGAGATTCTCCCGTGTCTCCAGTTCCTGGATTCTTGATGTCAGGTTCAGGATCTCTGCAGTCTGCTTGGCGTTGTCTTCCGAAAGTTCAGAGGTAACTACAGAGACAGACAGAGGAAGGTGTTGGGCTGTAAGGCTTGTGTCTCTGAGTGATTAATGATCATAATAGACATTAAAGAACAGGTTCATATGTTTTATCTTTCTTAAAACAATAGTCAGACGCACATATAAACATGTGAACGGAGCAGCATTGATGGTCTAAGATTGTTAAATCAAGTGTTTATCCTGTAGAGTAAAAACAATTTCATAAAAAAAAATCGTTAACACACCCTTAACACACATTTCAGCCTGTTTCAAAGTATTATTTATTTTTTTGTGCATGTTACTTGTTAGACGCTTTTATCCAAAGCGACTAACATACTCAATACTGTGGACAATCCCTACAGGAGCAATTTGGGGTGAAGTGTCTTGCCCAGGGACACAACGACATGTAGTGGGACTCAAACTTGCCCCCTGATTCGAAGTTCAGCGCACTAGACCACTGAGCCACAGCCTCCCTCAAATGTCTGCCTGTTTCAAATTGTTGAACACAGAAGATACTCACAGTAGATACGGAGATCCATGATGGCTAACAGTATGATCCAACACACTGCTATTGGAAGAAAACACCTCAGGCCTGAAAAACAAGCATTCTGTTAAAAAAACGTAATAAAGGTTTCAAAAGTTTTAAAGTCATATACACAGATACAGTTTAGTCTAAAAACTGTGGTCGCAGGTTGGTTAAAACATGCAATATAAACATATTTATAATAATAGTGCAAGCTATTGCAAGCTCAGGAGTTTAGCTTTATCTTAACGCCTAATATCATTTAACAGGCTAATGCTTTCATTACATTATAAACACACCACAAAAATAGCTAAACCATTTCAACCTTTATCACTATGTCACTGTTTACCTTTATATATATTTTTAAAACATGTTAACAGTATTAAATAGTGAAATGTATTGATCATGCACCTGGAGGGGATGCCTTTGTATCCACGGTGCCTTCTGGTGCAGCTTCTTTTTTGGTGTCCTCTGAAAAATAAAAACACAATGTGTTGTGTTTTTATGAAGTTTATCAGAATCAGAATCTGGTTTATTTCCAGGTAGGTTAACAGACGAGGAAATTGACTTGGTGTTGTGTTGCATACATAAACATACATACAAATGTAACTAAAACTAAAACACAGATAGAAAATAATTTTAAGAAAACTATAATAACATACATTTTTCTTTTTTAAATACTAAAATACATATATTTTATTTGTAAAACTGCTATAGCAGTATTTACATTGAATATGGTTGAAATCGCAGAAATAGAATTGTAATAAATGATGTGCAGTAATGAAAAACAAGACATTGTATACATTGTGTGCATTTATGTGAATTTAACTCCCAATATAATCAAACTTCAAAAACCATTGGACAAAAGATGGATTTTATAATGGCTATCAGCAAACACACTGCTATTGGTGGAAAATACAGTGAAGAAAATAAACATCTGCCCTGAGTTAATATAGAACAAAAGAGCTGATTTAATATTCACGTTTTTAACCTTCATCACTATTTTATTTAAATAACATGACTGTTAAATAAATCTCATGTTTGCTTGTGTTCACAGCTCACCTGGACGCGTTGCCTTTTTATCCACAGGGCCTTCTGGTGCATTCACATAGTCAGCTTCTTCTGTGATTTCCTCTGGAAGATAAACACATACTGTTTCATCAGATATGCAGTTTCTCTCCCATTATGTTCAGCACGCATGAGGAACCATTTCACTAAATGATGGAGTTTATAATCAAACTCAACGATGTAAAATGAGTTGCTGTCACGCAAAGAACAGAGCAGGAAAGCAGAACTAAAAACACACAGAGAAGTGTATCGTGCTGACTTTTTATAACAAGATTAAAGACCAATTAGACAAACTCAAATCTTATAAATAAAACATTTGTACATGTTATTGTTGAAAATGTAGCACATTTTGTATTTAGTACAATAGTTAATCATGTGTGGTTAACATATTGATAAACTACAAGCTTCTTCCTAATTTACTCTCAACAAAATCCCCAAATGCATTAAACATTATGTCTCTATGTTCAGCAGAGTTGATCAATTATAATTTTAAAGATTCAATCTTAAATGAATTTGGATATTTAAAATAATTAGCTGCTAGGGAGTGGTCAAGCCTCAGAAGCAACTTACGCATACATAGCAAACCATGTTGATAAAGGAAAATAAAAACACATCATAGGATGTTTCTTAGACACAAACACAAACACATACTGTAAACTCTGGAATATTCTTTAATCACCCATATCCTCAATTATTTGTCCTTTCGTCCTGAACAAAGTCCTGCTGCAGTCCTGATGAGAGCGTCTCTCTGATGTGACGGTTCAGTAGACTTCTGCTTTGAGGTGGAGATGGCATCTTTTTAATCTCCTGTTCTCACGTCATGTTGATACTTCCCAAATAGTTTCAACCGGAACTTGAAAACGTGCGGCCCTTTCACAGAGTTTTAATAGAGTCACACATCCAAAAATATTGGATTTCCCAATGATATAATCATATTAACTGCAATTTGGATCTCCATTGGATTTCTAGGCCCCAAAAACATATGTTAAGTCACCAAAATGCTCTCAATGCCACTTCCTGTCCCTCTCTGAAACTCGGCAAAAATCAACTGACTGTGTGAACGTGAAAATTAATAGAATATCCCCTCCCATCTTCAGAGCAATCTGAATATTATAACATTAGCGTTAAGAAAGCTTACTTAAATATCTGCCACAACATAAGTAACCGGATCAGAGTAACATTAACCTGTTAAGCCCTGAGCCTGTTTTTCAGGTCTCAGGCTCGAAAATGACATTCCCAGAACATTTTTCGCTCGTTGCTAATTCAGATGATCAGTGTTAGCATTGTGGGTTTTCTTTTGAAAAAAAAATAAAAAATGATCAGTTAGATGAGTTTCTTCCCGTTACATAGATATAAAACATTCATAGTTTTATTAAATGAACATGCCGTCAGACACTGTTTCCTGCAAGATGTTGCGGCAGAGCCCCGGTACCGGGGTCTCTCGGGCTTAACAGGTTAAGTACAGTCCGCGGCACTGAGTGCAGACGTCGATGTGTCCCATTATCATTCATATCATATCACATCATAATGTATCATATATTTCCTTATGAGTCAGCTTCTTGAGCCGTATCTGGCCGTGCAACACTCAGTCACATACTGTATGCAGAAGTATTATTTTAAGCAACACATTAAGTTGACGAAACACTCGAGTCAAATGTAATTTAAGTCAGATCCACTCGTGTCTTGGACGGGGCAGTGATATCATAAACCTGTTAATGTACGCATTCAAACACTTTTTCTTTTACCAGCTGTATTCACCTTGCAGGTGCAGCTATGTGGCTTTTATCCTGGATAAAGGGTTTAAGTCATGGATGTTTAAAGTTTAACTTCTTCATATTTGACAAATATTAAAGTTCACTTTTCATTCAGGAAGTATGACGCTGCGCTGTCAGTACGCTTGTCCATGTTTGAGATTGGTCGAATGCTCCAAATACCACCCCTTTCATGTGAACGCGCACCTAACTAGATAGGACACGGCTGGCTTGAGCGATCCACTTGATATCCAGCGTCGTAGTACAGTTTAGCGAGAGCGCGTATGTTTTGGATTGGGCCAACCGGCTAACTCAAACATATCCAGGTTAGGTTGAACCAGCTTCGTAGTACAGGCCTCAGATCTCCTTCTATCTTATTTTCATAACATATTACATAATTGGCAATAACAAGTTCGTCCTGACTTGATTAAAGCCTACTGATGTTTTCAAGAAAAAGACAAAACAACAATGTGTGGCAGCACATTTATTCACTGGTGACAGAGTAAAACATGACATTGCTCATAGATAAAAATACAAAGGGCAAAGAAACAAAGTACACATCAGAATACTTAAAGTGGACCTATCATGCTATATTTGAATAATATAGTGTAGGACCATACCTATATAAGGCATATTTATACTTTTTTTTCAAAATACCAAACAGATCATGCATTTTAGCCATGCCTCATTTTGCTCAATTTGACATTTTTTAGCTCTGTTTTTGCAAGGGCAGATTCTGTGAGAACAGCACCATCTACAGGCCTGGCATATGTACTACATCGTCTCCAGCGCTTTCGAACGGCAATGGCCGTGGCTGTCTCCTCCTGATTGGTGGAGTTGGCCCAATAGCCGTAGCGCCACCGTCCTGACGTCAGGACAGTGTTCAAATCTGGATCAGTTGTTATCAGGTCCCCTTTAATGAAACAGACTCTGGAACATTGTATTGAGAACAAGTGATGCAGCGCCCTCTGTTGGCCGTTAGAAGCAATAATAATAAGTTCTTGCACTAATCTGCAGAGTTTAAGCATTGCATCTCTAATACAAACAAGTGTAACCATCCAGACTGATAAACATGAATATGTCAAGGAAATAAAAAATTGCATTTATTTTGCAAGCCCAATAGAAATCCAAAAGTCAAACTAAAGCTAGATTGATTTTTAAATAATCCACATTATATATGAGTTAACTTTCATGTATTATTGTTTATAAAACGGACAAGTCAAATCAAGCAATCTGATTGGTTCTTAGCCGTGATATAATATCGTATTCTTCTCTCTCAATGCTGCCGAAGGTGAACTGATTTCCCTGCTGGATCTCTGACCGAGGAAGAGTCTCCTCGTCTTCCTCCTCCTTTGACACAGACGAAGGGAGATCAGGCAGTGAGACCACCTGTTCAACAACACTTTTCCTACACTTCGAAACAGGCAGGTCAGTAGACATCCTACGGCTCTGTGCACGCGTAACAGTACAAACTGGAAACACCCTTGGAAATTGCAAACCGCTCTCATCTTGCTCCACAGATGCCAACGGTCTGGAAACCACCACAGACGGTGGCACACCAGCCCACACAGCACTACCAGCGAGATCGTTGCCCAAAATCATCTGTACCCCATCAATTGGCAACGCAGGACGCACGCCGATAGACACAACCCCCCGCACCAACTCACAATCCAGCACTATTGTATGACGTGACACGGGAATCAAGCCCATCTCCATGCCCCTCATCAACACAAAATCCCCAGTCTCTGTCTCTGACGAAAAAGACAACACTGACTCAATAATAAATGAGTATCTAGCTGCTGTGTCACGCAACACCTTAATCGGAACATACTTGTCACTACCGACTACTGACACAACGGCTTCCGTTATGAACGGCTCAAAACCAGAACCCACATCCAAGTCGGCACAAACCAGCTTCTTATCAGGCACCATGCCTGATCCTACACCCTGCGGCTTTTTAACCAAAATGGCAGAACAACACATAGCTGGAGCATTTGTTGAAACACGAGGCTTCCCCTCAGGTTCCAGCAACGGACACTGCTCCTTCCAATGACCCTCTTCTCGGCAATAATGACATTGGCCCACTCTGGCGCCCTCGGATCGCCCCGGACCTGCAAATCTACGGGAGGAGCCTGGTGAAAACTTTGCACAACCGCGGGAATAGCCAACATCTTCTCCACGTCTCCAATCACCCCTAGAACACTTCTCAGTAAAACTGCCCTTATGCGTCAACACAAAATCGTCCGCTAATTCAGCAGCTCTAAGCGCGGTGGAAGGTTTCTGCTCATTTACATAAGTGACCACACGCTGAGGGATAACATCTTTAAATTGTTCCAATACAATGAGTTCACAAAGACCGTCAAAACTGACAACCTTTGCTGCCGCGCACCACCGCTGAAAATGAGAAGTCAAATCACGGACAAACTCCACATGCGTCTGCTTATCCACCTTGACCTAACTTCTGAACCTTTGACGATACGCTTCAGGAACCAGTTTGTATGATTTTAACACCGCTGATTTTACTCTCGCATAGTCCAAAGCATTTTCGCCACAAACAGCTGAATAGGCCTCCTGTGCTCGCCCAGTGAGTACACACTGAAGTAACAGCACTCTGTCCGAATCTGACCAGTTTCTTGCCCCTGCTATGCGTTCAAAGAGAGTAAAAGAAATGTCAGGGTCACGCTCATTAAACTTTGGCACTAACCGCAAGCAAGAAATAATATCGCCACTACCTGATGCCGACCTATCAGAACCATCCTTCACCCGAGAAAGCTTGCCCTCTCCAATCAGCCGTAATCTAGCATGTTCCACCTCACATTTCATCTTTTCCACCTCCAGCACCCCCTCACATTTCCTCTTCTCCACCTCCAGCACCTTCTCCACCTCTAAACGCTTCTCTACCTCCTGCTGCTGACCCCTCAACTACAACTGCAACCTCTCCTGCTCCAACCTCAATATCTCCTGCTCCAACCTCAACTCCATTCGCAACCTCTCCTGCTCAAACTGCATGGCCAAAAGCTCCTTTTGCTGCTCGAACGTCAAACCAGCTGTCTCAACCACTACCGGCACGACCCCTGCAGCACCAGACTCACTCTTCTGCAACACCCCCTGCTCAAACAAAGATGACATGATGACAGCCTTAATCTCATGTTTCCGTTTGCTCCCTACAACAGCAATTTCATAATGCTCTGCAATTTCGACCAACTGCGCCTTCTTGCAATCGTCTAAGAAAGACACCGAGGGCATCCACAAACGCCGACAAAGAAGCCATAATATACTGCCTATAACCAAACAGAAAGCAAAGTATTAACCTGCCAACATGCATGGGCAAAAGACAAACCCCAACAGAGAATTTCCCCCTCACTGCCTAACCAAAATCTTGCTAATCTCACCTAGTCTTCATGTGGCTTGCGGCGGGTAATTACGCACTGGAACCCGGCGGAATTATGGAGCGACCTGCACGCAGTCAACACCACAAAATCACACGGACGTGCCCCCGAGACAGCTGTCCGAAAACAGCTGACACTAACCACGTCGCCACAACACTATGAAAAAAACAAACAGACGCAACCCAAGGGGAAACGCCACTTAAGCCTAGCGGGGAAAATCTCTTTACAAAAGCCTAACAAACAGCAACATCTTACCTTCTGATTGGCACACAAAACCTGACGCCATGTCAAACACTAAAGCTTCCTGAAACACAAAAGACATGATGTGTCCCCCAAATAGCAGCGCCAAGCCAGCACACAGCTGGACCACATCAACTAATTAGCTGCTCAATGACACCATGTGCTCTGAGCACTACACAAACTTTTAACCAAATAACCCGTCGGACGAGCCCCCATTTGTTACGACCTGACTCAAAAGGCCACAACAAAGAGGAGACACACCATGTCAATGGTTACTAAAATATGTTTATTTAACCAAACAATTCAAATTAGCCAAATCAAATGAAGTGCAACAATAAGTAAAGCATGAGGTGTGGACGTCAGTGGTATCAGTAGTGTAAATGCAGGGTGAGGGTTGCATGGACGTATATGTGTGAGGGTGTTGAGGTGCACAAAGTAAAGCAACTAAAGTAACAACAGCATATACTCAACAAAACCGGAGGCCTGTAGGGAAAAGCAGAGCGAGCACAGAGAGGAGCAGAGAGGCTTTAAATAGCTGCAGGGCACCAGACCTGAGTTACTGCAATCAGTGCAATCAACACAGCCCAGACAGGACAGCCACACCCTCTCTAATGATGGACCCACAGGGGCATCACAGTATATCACAGGTAGAATTGTAGTTACTTTTCACGAGTCATGTATCCCTCCGCGTCTGAGAAAAAGCTACAACCGTTACAACTGTTACATTACGTCCGTTACGAAACTAACTAACTAACAAAGCTCAAGATGGAAACATTTAAGGTTAACTTCGACCTCCGGGGTGGCCTCACTATGGAGGAGTGGATTGAGCAGTGCCTATCTCCAGAAAACACCTAAACGACAACATGCAGAGCTACGTGAAGAGCAGGTAGACCAACTGGAAAAGTACCACCATTCAAATAGCATGGGCCGAACCACGCCCCTTAACTGTGATATAATGACCATATACCACGGCCTGTCGTGAGCTATTGCTTAAGTATATTAAGTTTATGCAAAGTTTATGTAATTAGCGTTATTTTCTTCCTTTTTTGTTTGACAAGCTAAAATCTATTTAAATGTTTGGAATTTATTTTTATTTTTGCACTTAAATGTGGGGTATGTAATTTTGGAGAAACCAGCTCGAGTGCGCTAGAATTTGAAAGTACGCAGCCGAAAAAATCTGCCTCTTCCTTCAGACTTCCTTACAGAGCCCCTCCTCCAACACACACGAACGTGCACATGACCAATGAGGGCACGAGATAAGTTTGTGCACAGATGGAAGGCTGACAGGCAGGTAGGCCATCCAGTTATTTTAGCCGGGCTGGCTCAGATGATTGGTCGTGCTTTTTACAGTACTACGGCTTCCACAGATGACATTTTTTTATGTATCTATTGTCAAAGCATTTAATATATTCATTGCTATCGGGATGTTAAGAGCATTCCATGGAATATAACAAAAAGTGTTTCTAAAGTGAATTACATACCCCACCTTTAAGTAGGATAATCCATAGTTTTACATTTATAGGCCTGTAAATGTATTTCATTTTCTTCAATCAAAGAGAGTAACTTTCTTAGTATGACTGTCCTGTTTAAAAAGATAGAGATAAAGAATTCTTCTGGCACATCCATCGTTTGTGGTCACCACAGCTCACTGATACCCAATTGTTTTCTCTCAGGACAGAGATTGCACAGCGACCGTCAACAGCCTCTGCATTAAAGGAGCTGAGGATGGAAAATGATGTTTAGACAAAGGCTGATAGATGTTATTATTCAAAGTGTTTAGTAATGAATCGCTTACCTATCAGTCAGATCACTTCCATTCACGCACATCCGTTGAACTCAATCCTTTTTGGTGTCATGTCTTGTATTTTGCTGTTTCAAGTTGTTCTTCTGGGTCTCCAGCTCCTGGATTTGTGAGTACAGCTTGGCATTGTTTCCTGAAAGTCCAGAGGTCACTACAGAGACAAAGAGAGGAAGGTGTTGGGCTGTAAGACTTGTGTCTCTGAGTGTTTTAATGTTCTTGATAAACATTGAAGACTGGGTTCACATGTTTGCTTCACATAGCAAAGAGCTAAATGAATTTGGAAAGCGACTGGTCTCCTCTGTATTGTAGACATCTTACAACAGCTGACATTTCAAACCACTGCCTTTTGCAAAATATGGAGAACACAAGCAGACACCTTCACACACACACTTCACCCTTAACACATATTTCAGCCTCCTATTGCAGAATCTTTGCAGCAAACGAGAGGGGAAATGTGGTTGGGTCAACAGACAGAGTTACAGAGCTTCAGGTCACATCTAATACAAACTGTTGAACTGACATTCACACAGAAGATACTCACAGTAGATACGGAGACCCATGATGGCTAACAGTATGAGCCACCAACACACTGCTGTCAGAAGAAAAAAACGCCGTCCTGAAAAATAATAATTCAGTTAAAAAACCTAAACAACATGACAGTCACAGATGCTTAGGATACATTTAGAACAAAAAGAGACGATTAAATATTCACACTTTCAACTTTCTTTACTCCCATTTCTGAACATAAATCCCATTTTTGACAATATTAAATGTGGATTGTTTTGTGTTCATAATGCACCTGGACGGGTTCTCTTTTTATCCACAGCGCCTCTTGAGGCATTAACGTAGTCATCTTCTTCTTGTTCTTCAATTTCCTCTGAAAGATAAACACATTATTTATATTTGAGTGCAGTTTTACTCCCAGCATGTTGAGCATCCATGAGGAACCATTGTACTGAAAGATGGATTTTGGGATTAAATCGATATTTAAAAACAGTTGCAGTTATGTAAGGAATCAGAAGCAGAAGTCAACAACGCACTTCTACATAGAAAGATAACAAATGTGTTAAGTCTTAATGTATGAGTAATGTTAAACTCTAGATATTAATCTAAAGCAGAACTAAAAACCACACGCAGAAAATTGTTCGGTTGTCACACTGACATTTCTTTAAAATAACAAACAAATATCTTTCTGCATTCATTTTGCCTTTTTCCTGCAATACCCGGCATTTCAGTTGATCCCACTAGATGGCGCACTCTAGACACAATTTACCTTTGCTGGAGTCTGGTCTATTCTCTCAGCTGGCCCCACTCGGCAACCCGGCAAGATCCAAGAACCAAATACATCACGCTTATTGGAGGGGGTCGAGATTAACCTGAGCAATAACAGTTCATGGCGAGTACGGCGAATACACGTTGTAACAAGCAGTAGCGCTGAGCAAAGTGACTAGAACGCGACCACACACTTATAAAAACACTTATATAAAGTCAGGCAACACTAA